TATATATATATATAATAATATATATATATATATATATATATATATATATATATATATATATATATATATATATATATATATATCCATAATTGTATTTTCAATTGTAAATTCAAATTATTTACCGCTGTATTACGTAAACATCGCGTAAGTCCAGCAGTCAACGAATAGGTATTTACTGTATTTGCATGACCGTTATCTGTGGAATATCTCCTAGCACCGGTTATTATTGGACTATGTGGATCCAATTTCTTCTTCAACATTTTCCGCAAGTTATTATCAATAATATATACAAAACTTAAATATAGTGCAAATAAAGGAACACTGAAATTAAATGAAACATTTCGAGATGCTATCATGATTAGATTAGAAAATTGTTAAAATATAAGTAAAAATTTTTCTTTTTTTTTGAAATTTAATATTGAATTTATTATTATTAATGAATAATTAATTTCCTTTTTTTTCTTTTTTCAAATACCTTTCCCATTTCAGAATGAAGTTCGGTGGTACCAAAAACATGACGATGTATGCAATTGTAATCACGTTTGGTTAAATAATAGCTAACAAATGAATACTCCAACAATACAAGAAATATTAATGCCTAAAAAGTTTAACAAATTTTAATTTTTATTAATCAGTTTCGAAAATTTAAAACTGTAAAAATATGAGTAATTGAATTATTTCCATTTCTAATATTTGTTTAATTTGTGTGTAAAATATGATTAAGGTGTTGTAAAATTCTGGAATTAATATTTAATAAACATAAACTATAATTAATGTAAACTTGTTTTATTTTTGCATTTTCTTTTTTTTTTTGATAGTGAATTAGCTTTTGGTTAAAAATATCAATGCAATATTGAATGTAATTATAATTGTTAATTTAGTAATTAAAAATCACAATAAATGAATGGTCTAACCATAAATTCTATATTTCACTATTTTTTTTAACCAAAAGATAGAGATTGAAAAGAGAAAACTAGTTGTATACTAATTAAATTAACGAAAATAAATTTCAAACTTTTGTAAACTGCTGGTTTTTTTTTGAAGCAAAAACTTTTTTTTCAATGTATTACGCAATGACAAGTAATATTTAAAAATTGTTAAATGACCAGTAATATTTTAATTGTATGTTGCGAAAGATAAACGATTAAAGAGAAGGTCAAAAAGGGTTCAAAAATTACCTGTGAGAATGTTAACCAAATATCCAGTGCTTTAATATAGCTAACCTGAAATTATTTCAATTTATAAAAGTGCAAGATTAGAAGAATCGTATTTTTATATATAACTATGATATGTGATATTAATTCCAATATTTAAGTACGGTAATGTGGTACTCTGTACTTCAAATATATTTAGGAAATCATTTATTTCATTTCGTATATTCTTTTATTTTTTTTCACATTATTAAAGATTATATCTGATAAAGTATATTATAAATTTAGCAAAATTATCAAATATTTAATAAATATTCAAATTAAAAATTTAAAATTGGAAAGTGACATGGGTTGAAACAGAAAAATTCGCGAAAAAGATGTAAATGAAGCATAGATTTTATCTCATAGCTTGAATTCCAAAAAATAATTTGTAAATTTCAACGAATAATTGAAACTTTACATTACATTAATTAACCTGCTTGTCTTCTGTTTTCTTCCCTTCCCAACTTTTTGTCATTTGTCACTTGTTTTTTGTTTTTATTTTCATCCAATAGAATGAATTGTTCTTTTTTTTTTTTTTTTTTTTTTTTAAATTGAAATGCAAATAGAAATACAGAAAAAAAGGAAAAAAAATTCCATTATTTCCATTTGAATTAATGAATCAATAAAAAATTAGAAAAGTATAACAAACTTGCGGTAAATCTTGTCTTGCACCATTACTCATTGTGGTCAATGTAAGCAATGTTGTAATGGTCAGTGTCACCCGAGCTGGTGATGCACGAGGGTCAAGCCAAAAGCTCATCCATGAAATAGAGACAAGCATTGCTGATGGGACATACGTTTGTATCACATGAAATAGCATTAATCGCTTCATAACTATCAGTCCTCGAATACATGACCAATTACCTGATGGAAAGTTTAGTTAACTATTCAAACAAAAAAAAAATTAAATTATCGGTCAACTAACTAATCAAACAATGTTAGCAAATTAGTAATAATAATGATAATATCTTGATTATTTTATCATGATTATTTCCCATCATTCATTCTCTGTCACTTATTCATAAGCATAAAATAGTACTAACTTATTGGCTAAAAGATTTTATTGTTACGTGTACATTACTAGGGGAAAAAAAGAAAAAAAAACCATATATTAAACTAAAATTAAATTAAAATTCAATATAATCAATCAGCCATTTCATTGATGATAATATCAATTATTACTGTATAATGTTTATCTCTTTACAGCATATCAAAATTTGCATATTTCTTCTAAAAAAAAAAAAAAAAAATAAGCATGAAATAA